GCATCTATAACGGTGCCACGTTGAAAGTCACTGAGCTCTTCAGTAAGGCCATTCTACTGCCAATGTTTGTCTATGGAGATTGCATGGCTGTGTGCTCGATTTTATACACCTGTGTGGCTGAAATAGCCGAATCCACTAATTTGAAGGGGTGTCCACATACTTTTGTATATATAGTGTATTCAGTCATTGATACCAGTATTGCACACTGCTCTTTCAGAAATGCTTTGCATGTCCTGGATGAAGGGAGTTGACAGTGTGGAAACCCACTATCTGGAAACTGTTGAATAAATCAAACAAGAGTCTATGAGTGATGAATGGATTGAAGAACAGACTTGAACAGGGTTATATTGATGGATACACTGTAGGACACACCTTGGTTGAATGCATAGGCTACTGATAGAGTAGTTGAATGTGACATCAATGACTCTCTGTAAATGAGGACATTAATCAATAGTGATTGGCCAAGAAGGTCTGCAGCAGATTAACCATTTTAGAGAAATTAACAGCAATATTTATTCATGGCTGTGTAAAAGCTCTATTAAAATGCTCAGAGAAAAGTTAGGCAGGCAACAAATGTTCACACAAAGTCAATATAACTAGCAGTGAACGTCCATAACATTAGTCCCTCACCACAGACTCAAAGGGTCCTATAGATTGATTTTAAAGTGAATGTTCCAATTTCAGAGAATCATTACAGTTGGAAAGGGTTTTAAGATAAGTAATAGCTAATTAATGTCAATAATTCCATTGTTAAATTGAAATCCCACTCAATACAGTAAGATCTACATTTCATAGAGGCAAAAGGGCCAAGACGTGTAGCACTCTGCCAACTTTGCTGCCTCTTCCCCCATCTGTGTGAACTGAAATGGGTATTCAGACAGAAAATGACCTGAGAAGCACTTACCATGTGGAGATACAGGGTTGGGTAGGTTACTTTCTAAATGTAATCCGTTAAAGTTACTATTTACCTGTCCAAAATTGAAATCAGTAACGTAATTTTTAGATGACCCAAACTCAGTATCCATCACATGCATTTGGTGTGTCTTTATAGGGGTCTCTGACTCAATGAATGTCATTGAGAAAACAGAAAGGTATCAATGTATTTTTTCCGCAAACTTCCTTTCTGAATTTAAAAGTAATCGAAGAAGTAATCTACTAGTTTTTCAAAAGTAGATGTAATCCGATTACAATATTTTTGCTGGTAATGTAACATTTTAGTTACAATTTTTTTGTAATTGGATTGCATGTAAACTGAATACATGTAATCAATTACTCCCCAACCCTGTGGAGCTGTGAATGTACAGTCGTGGTCAAAAGTTTTGAGAATGACACAAGTATTGGTCTTCACAAAGTTTGCTGCTTCAGTGTTTTTAGATATTTTTGTCAGATGTTACTATGGTATACTGAAGTATAATTACAAGCATTCCATAAGTGTCAAAGGCTTTTATTGACAATTACATTACGTTTATGCAAAGAGTCAATATTTGCAGTGTTGACCCTTCTTTTTCAAGACCTCTGCAATCCGCCCTGGCATGCTGTCAATTAACTTCTGGGCCACATCCTGACTGATGGCAGCCCATTCTTGCATAATCAATGCTTGGAGTTTGTCAGAATTTGTGGGTTTTTGTTTGTCCACACGCCTCTTGAGGATTGACCACAAGTTCTCAATGGGATTAAGGTCTGGGGAGTTTCCTGGCCATGGACCCAAAATGTCGATGTTTTGTTCCCCGAGCCACTTAGTTATCACTTTTGCCTTATGGCAAGGTGCTCCATCATGCTGGAAAAGGCATTGTTCGTCACCAAACTGTTCTTGGATGGTTGGGGGAAGTTGCTCTCGGAGGATGTGTTGGTACCATTCTTTATTCATGGCTGTGTTCTTAGGCAAAATTGTGAGTGAGCCCACTCCCTTGGCTGAGAAGCAACCCCACACATGAATGGTCTCAGGATGCTTTACTGTTGGCATGACACAGGACTGATGGTAGCGCTCACCTTGTCTTCTCCGGACAAGCTTTTTTCCGGATGCCCCAAACAATCAGAAAGGGGATTCATCAGAGAAAATCACTTTACCCCAGTCCTCAGCAGTCCAATCCCTGTACCTTTTGCAGAATATCAGTCTGTCCCTGATGTTTTTCCTGGAGCGAAGTGGCTTCCTCACTGCCCTTCTTGACACCAGGCCATCCTCCAAAAGTCTTCGCCTCACTGTGCGTGCAGATGCACTCACACCTGCCTGCTGCCATTCCTGAGCAAGCTCTGCACTGGTGGTGCCCCGATCCCGCAGCTGAATCAACTTTAGGAGATGGTCCTGGCGCTTGCTGGACTTTCTTGGGATCCCTGAAGCCTTCTTCACAACAATTGAACCTCTCTCCTTGAAGTTCTTGATGATCCGATAAATGGTTGATTTAGGTGCAATCTTACTAGCAGCAATATCCTTGCCTGTGAAGCCCTTTTTGTGCAAAGCAATGATGACGGCACGTGTTTCCTTGCAGGTAACCATGGTTAACAGAGGAAGAACAATGATTTCAAGCACCACCCTCCTTTTAAAGCTTCCAGTCTGTTACTCTAACGCAATCAGCATGACAGAGTGATCTCCAGCCTTGTCCTCGTCAACACTCTCACCTGTGTTAACGGGAGAATCACTGACATGATGTCAGCTGGTCCTTTTGTGGCAGGGCTGAAATGCAGTTGAAATGCTTTTTGGGGATTAGGTTCATTTTCATGGCAAAGAGGGACTTTGCAATTAATTGCAATTCATCTGATCACTCTTCATAACATTCTGGAGTATATGCAAATTGCCATCATAAAAACTGAGGCAGCAGACTTAATAAATATTTGTGTCATTCTCAAAACTTTTGACCACGACTGTAGTCTTCCCAATACCGCTATGAGGAGAGATACTGGGATTATAGGTAACACAATGAACACTTTCTGACCATGATTGTACATACATATTGAGGAGTATGATCTTCACACACAGATTGTGCATATTGATTTACTCTGTCATAAACATCTATTACTTCAAGAGAGTGCTGAGACAAACGGCTCCTTCACAAAGGGGGTTGCATGATGGCTCAAGTTGTATTGCGGATGCATTATACCAGAGATGCTCTTTCTTCACATACTGTCCCTCTTTCATTTAGCCTTTTGAAATCTATTCACCAGGCCTTTCTCTGAGCCTCCTTTAGTAAAGAGAGAACATTTTAGTCAATACAGGCCTCCAATAAAAATAAAGACAAGTGTGAGTGGTCATGAAAGCTGGTTGCATGAAAGAAAGTGGTTGTTAAATTAATAGGTGCTTTGGGTCCATCTATAATTTCCTCATATAATACCCCTCCCTACCTATGTGAGGCCAGCTCTTCTTCATAAAAGAGAGAGACTTTCATCAATATAAAGGCCACAGAGTATGAGTTTTCTGCACTGTAGTGTAAGCAACAGGGACAGAGGAATATACTTTTACCAGCTGAATACTACAGGGGTTTACCACAATATGCATACAATATCAATACATTATTGATATTCTGTATTAATATTTCATATAACATTTTTACAATTGCACATCCTCTAGGTTAACATTTGCAATTAAACACGTTTATTCCAGACAGAAAGACACCCCCATGGCATTGTACATTATCCCCATGTGTCTCAAAACACAAGACAAGAGACCCAACAGAAGAACAAATGGAGTGAGCCCCATGTCTATATCATAGGATTATCAACATGCCATATAGGAAGTTGTTATATTACTTAAAAGAAGTGAATAACTCAGTGTGTCCCGGATTCAAGTCAAAGGCTAAAGATTATATTGGTACACATGACAGACCAGAGTAATTGAACAAGTTTCTAGACTGGAAACACCTAGGCCAAAGTAACAGATCATCTGAAAGGTGAAGATTTAAAATATTTTATTTTGATTGGCTATATGGTTAAACTGTTAGATAACATAAGTCTACCAGATGAATAAAAATAGAGTACTTCCATCTCAGAGGTGAATTGTAAATACTAGCCCTTGATGACTTTATGAGTCTGAACTGACTTTCACCTAAAGCCCCTATTCTTGCAGTTCTATGGATTAGTGTACACCACTCTGTTTAAGCCCTGCCCCAGTTCTCAGAGTTTCCCAGGTGTCACACCTATTTCAAATTGAGGGCAAAAGCAAAATGACCTTGTAAGGTTGTTATTCATGTAAAAATGAACGGAGGCAGATATTGCTTTAGATACCCTCTTGTACAGTACATGCTCTGGACTTTCTGGTCACCAAATTGTGTGAAAAGGCATCATAACAGTATTCTGGAAACATTGTAACCCATTGCAAGTAGGTAGCATCTCAATTGTCACAATATGTTGGTAGATACAATTACAAATCATTCACAACTAAATGCCTTTGATTCCTTCATATGTTTGTTAATCTTATACTATATATATATTTGATTATATATCATTGTTGTCCATCTTATATAAAATGTGTGTCTACTATGATGAGAGATGATTAAATCGATTGTACACAATGTTATTAACATTTAAATACTTCAATCAAAAGGAAGGTTGACTTTCATCAGTCCCACAAGTACATTGTAACAATATTTCTGTCCACAAAGAGTGTATCATTTTCTACTGGTGAATGTATCATATCCTACAATAGTTATATCTGTTTAATATTGATAAACCCTTTTTAAAATTAAGAAATCTTTGAAAAAAGGAAGAACTGTTGCTATTGATATGTTTCACAAAAGAAAAAAGAGTTTTGTCATAATCTCGCAACACAGAAATTACAGTCTTAGGTACAGGAAAGTACAGAGGTCCAGAAATAGATGGCATGTCTGTCATGATAAATTGTATGGCTACAGAAATAAAAGTTGACATAAAAGACAACTAAGATTCGCTGAAGAAATCTCAACCCAGAGGAGTTACCTCCATTCATCCCTTTACCTCCATCCATCCCTTTATCTCCCCCTCTTCTACTCCTCTCCATCCCCCATGGGCTCCCTCTCCTCAGCTAAAGCCTCTCATGGGGCTTCCTTGGCTCCTTCCTCCACCGTGAGGCCTTCCTCCTCCCTTCCCTCCATCCCCAACTCTCTCTCCAGCTCCTCCACCATCTCCTCCACCAAGTCCAGTTCCTCAAAGGAGGAGCCGCTGCCCACTGACTCGCTGGAGCCCCTGTCCCCGTGCTTATCGTTGATGTGTTCCTCGGCCTGCCCCTGCTCTTCCCCGTCCCCCTGGTCCCTGTGGGGCAGTGAGGGGGGCAGGGAGGGGGCCTGAGACGTCTCTGTGTTCTCTGACTGCACCTGGCCGCTCAGAGTGCTGCTGACATCACAGTGGGTCTTTGCACCTGCAACCACAGGAAGAGAGGCGTGAAGTAACACGGCGGATTGATGTCGTTTCAAGAGCGAGAGAAAGGCTAGAGAGAGAGAGAGAGAGTGAAGGAGAAAGAGAGAGTATACAGAGGCACGGTGTTTGCATCCTGACAAGGTAATGTCCTTAATCTATCTGGTTGGGATCTTTTCAGCTTCAAGCTAAATAATTACTTCAACAACTCTATAAAAAGGGGAAAAGACAAAAGATACAATTAGAGAAAGCAAGCTACAAGTACAAACTTTACCCTGTACATTTAAGCAATAAGGCCTGAGGGGTGTGATATATTGGCCATTATAAACCAGGTAGTCTGGCTCCTGGATGCTGATTAACTGAAAGCTGTGGTATATCATACATTATAAACCGGGTGGTTAAATTGGTAACCAGATATTAGATTATAATAGCAATAAGGCACCTCGAGGGTTTGTGGTACTGTATATGGCCAATATACCGCAGCTAAGGGCTGTATCCAGGCACTCCGCGTACTGTCGGGCTTAAGAAGAGCCCTTTGGCGTGATATATTTAAGCAATACGGCCCAAGGGGGTGTGGTATATGGCCAATATACCACGGCTAAGGGCTGTTCGTAAGCACAACGCAACGCGGAGTGCCTGGATACAGCCCTTAGTCGTGGTATATTGGCCATATACCACACCCCCTCAGGCCTTTTTGCTTAAATATACCACGGCTAAGGACTGTTTTTAGGCACGACGCGAAGCGCCTTATTGCTATTATAAACTGGTTACCAACATAAATAGAACAGTAAACAAGTATTTTTGAATCATACCCGTGGTATATTGTCTGATATACACAAGGCTGAAATGCTGTTTCCGCCAATCAGCATCCAAGACCCAAACTACCCTGTATATAATTAGACATAGACTTGATATATTCCCGCGTCACTCAACAGCTCACATACAGTAGGAGGTGACTAGCTACATTACACACAGAGATGTTATTGGTGTTAATGGCAGACCTGCAATTTTTGTCATTTTTAATAGAGGCTGACAAAATTGAGCCAGTTTGAACGTGGGCAGCAACAGGCAACAATAACAACATTCTCACTCACATCCTTCCAGTTGGATGGACTATGAATGAATGAGTGTATGCAAGACTGCATTACAGATCTCACCTCCAAGAAGCATAGAGGATCTCAGTGAGTGAGGGAATCTTTGATATGCCGGTGTGCCGCTGTAACCCTGTTCTGTGCATGGATACTGTGTGTGTGTGTGTGTGTGTGTGTGTGTGTGTGTGTGTGTGTGTGTGTGTGTGTGTATGCACGTGCGTGCATGTGTCTTGGGCCAGCTCCTTTATTCACAAACCCAGTCACTGAGATGTACTCCTCTTCTGGTATTTAAGGGGAGTAACTCATAGTAATAAGTTGTTATGGGTTATTACAATCACATCACCCTCATTCTTTATGGGTCATTACAACATAATTCTACTCCTCTCTCCCTACCTATTAAGCACTGATATCATTGGTCATAGAGACAAAGGCCCATTCCTACACAGCCAACCACACAGCAATATCAGTCAAATTATATCTGATGATGCCATACTGCCTGGTTACTTATTTAGTATTTCTCCAACTCACTCCTTTACTAGACGGGAAATGGCCGTGGTTTCTGCTGTCTGGTTCAGGAAATAAATAATAAGTGCATTCATCACCAGGATGGACCATTAGTGTAATGCTACAGAGATTTCCTCCATATAACATGATGAACAATAATTATTTCATAGTAATTAAGATGTGCCAAATGCTGAGCCTGATTCGCCTATGATCGCTAGTCCTTTCTGATGGAGAAATATCCACCAGCGTCTAGTCATGATATCCTCCTCAGCTTGTCATGATCCAAGTGGTTTGTGTGAATGTGTGTGTGTGTGTGTGTGTGTGTGTGTGTGTGTGTGTGAATGTGTGTGTGTGCGCACATGTGTGTAGGTCTAACGGCCCTGGAATGGAGATTAATGAATAATCTTGATCTCTTTCATTGCGAGAAGCTAGTCTGACCTCTGCCATTTCCCCGTCTGTATCGTTTTGGGGCCGGGGAGATGAGTCCCTGCCTATCATGGCTCTCGCTGCAAATTAGCACTGGCGTCTCAATTAGGCCCCAGCTCTGTGGTCATTGTGCAGAAATGGATGGGATGAAAATAGACACACAAATGTGAGACCTTTTGAGCACTGATTATTGTAAGAAAGAGACACAGCAAACAGCACCCCTCAAATCTCCCCTCCTAAACCATGTCCAAATGTCACTCACACCCAGTGAAGTAGGAGCAGGGCGGCAGGCTTGGTTTTCTTCCTTGTGTCCATCATCCTATTGTGACAGGAGTGTGATATAGGAGAGCATCCCAGGTTACATAGTCACCAACAGGGAACCACTGACACACACACATCGATAATCTTACTGCCCATTCATGTTGATGATGAACCAAAGAATAGGTTTTCTATTGAAAGGCAATCATTGTTATATTCTATTAGATCGTCCAACAGCCTTGGAGAGGTTCATTCATTAAGGAAAGACGGGAGATTAATCTCCTGTCAGCGTCCCAGGAGGGTAACAGGACACCCTGGGCCAGCCTCTCATTACCTTTGACATTTTAGTCATTTAACAGACGCTCTTATCCAGAGCGACTTACAATTAGTGCATTCATCTTAAGATAGCTAGGTGAGACAACCACAAATCACAGTCGTAATAAGTACACTTTTCCCTCAATACAGTAGTTATCAGTAAAGTCAGTGCTAGTAGTAAAAGACAACACCCCTATTGTGTTCACGGCCCAAACAAACCTCATCACACTGTGTTATGGACCATAGTATCACAGGGGACCACAGTGCAATACACACACAGGCTCTCTGAGCCCCTCACACAAGTGCCCCCTCCATTCAGATCTCACACCAAGCTCATTATCAGGTCCAGTGTTCAGCATATCTGAGCCTGTCTGTAATATACAGAGACTACGTCTATATGAGAGGTGTTGTGATTATGGGGTTATTTATGGCATATTAATAAACTGAGAAACATCCCATTTACCAGCCAGCAAGTCCATACACAGCAACCCCATCTGGTCTAACAAGGGAATATGGGGCAGTGATCCTTATTAGGCCTGAGGTAGGGAATCCTTAGCCTTCTCAATGAGAGGGAGGAGATGAGGATGAGTAGGTCCATGGAGGTATTATATATGTGTTGTATTTTACATTTCTCATGCTGTAGTAAATGTCCATGCCAGGTATAGTGGTTATGCTCTACCAGCAGCTGAGATGGGAAATAATTGGTCTATTTAAGGTAATTGGGCGGAAAGCCCCCAGGAAGATGCTTCCGACTAAATCTGACTACTTTCACCCCCGAAAAACTTTAAATAAGTCATGACAAAGCTCCCAAATTGAAGCAGACTACGCTTTGGAAAGTCTTTTAGATAACATTTGCTTATATTAGTTGCTAAATTGGGCCCAGTGGGAACGAAGAGAGGAGAAGAGAGGGGGGGTTTAAAGGAGGATAGCTGGAGGTAATTAGAGACAGACAAGACCGAGGCAGGCTGGGAGTTTAGAGAGGAGCATGATGGGAGGGGATTGTGACAGCAAATAAAAAGAATAGAAGAAAAAAAGTCTAAATCCACTTTATTCTCTCATTGACTCACCCTATCCACAGGAGAAGGCTGCAGGCATTTTTCTATATTAAGAAGAGAAGACCGGTCTGAGATTTGTGTTTTACTGATATTAGTCTGTTTGGTTTTAATGAGGATTCTTGATTTGGAAAGCAAACACTTAGATCTGCAGAATTGCTTCCATACAAAGCTTCATTGGTTCTAGATTAAATAACTATATAAGGTGGCAAAACACCAAAGGCAAAACAAGCATTTATATTGTAATGGTTCCTAATGCACTATTGACATGTTAGCATTTCAAAGATCCTCATCTACAGTAAGTGTGTCATTTCAAGGGCAATATGTAAAACTAAATAATTTGCTATAGCTAGCACACCTGTCATCTCCCCACTTTCATTGGCCTTGATTAAAATAACAATATCATATGTAGGCCTACTTACATTAAAGATGTGGTAATTGTTGCATTACATTTACGTCATTTAGCAGACGCTCTTATCCAGAGCGACTGCATAATTATATTATAGCAATTAGAGATACATTACATTTAGTAGGACTAAATGATACTGTAGCCATCTCTGTACCACTTCTGGAGGGTAATAATAATAATAATAATAATAATAATAATAATAATAATGTCATATTGACCCAGACCTTCTCAGTTCAGCTCAAACAGCTCATCAAGGACAGATGATGGCTCTGCACTGCATGATCCCATAGTTTCAGAGTGTGAGGGAAACGTAATGTTTATCCATGTAGACCACTGGTTTGTGTGTCTTTCAGTTTACTCAGTGCATGCGGGTGCAAATGAGTTCCATAACTACCCTCGACATGGTAAATATTATCTCTTGAGTTTGTGTTCTTTATTGAAACACCCTATTGGGCAACTTGGGCTAACAATCTCTCACTATCCAGCTTTTGTGAATAAGCATGCACAGTCTGCAACATTTCGCCAGTGTTAAAATAAATACCTTAATTGCGCAATTAAATTAATGGAGGACATGCAAAAGCACACCCTCCTCACACAGGCACACCTGGTAAACAGGTCCCCTGAGGTACAGGTGTAAGACCTGCAGAGAGGTCACTAATCATCTCATTTACAATACGTGGCGACATAAAAATAACAACAGGTCACATTTTGTTTCTATTTCTGTTGTATCCTTGTGTATAGTGGCTTACCAAAGTATTCACCCCCTTGGTATTTTTCCTATTTTGTTGCCTTACAATCTGGAATTAAAATTGATTTTTTTGGGGTTTGTATCATTTGATTTACACAACATGCCTACCATTTTGAAGATGCAAAATATTTTTTTATTGTGAAACAAACAAGAAATAAGACAAAAAAAACAGAACACTTAAGCGTGCATAACTATTCACCCCCCCAAAGTCAATACTTTGTAGAGCCACCTTTTGCAGCAATTACAGCTGCAAGTCTCTTGGGGTATGTCTCTATAAGCTTGGCACATCTAGCCATTGGGATTTTTGCCCATTCTTCAAGGCAAAACTGCTCCAGCTCCTTCAAGTTGGATGGGTTCCGCTGGTGTACAGCAATCTTTAAGCCATACCACAGATTCTCAATTGGATTGAGGTCTGGGCTTTGACTAGGCCATTCCAAGACATTTAAATGTTTCCCCTTAAACCACTCGAGTGTTGCTTTAGTAGTATGCTTAGGGTCATTGTCCTGCTGGAAGGTGAACCTCCGTCCCAGTCTCAAATCTTTGGAAAACTGAAACAGGTTTCCCTCAAGAATTTCCCTATATTTAGCGCCATCCATTATTCCTTCAATTCTGACCAGTTTCCCAGTCCCTGCCGATGAAAAACATCCCCACAGCATGATGCTGCCACCACCACGCTTCACTGTGGGGATGGTGTTCTCAGGGTGATGAGAGGTGTTGGGTTTGCACCAGACATAGTGTTTTCCTTGATGGTCAAAAAGCTCAATTTTAGTCTACCATTCTTCCATATGTTTGGGGAGTCTCCCACATGGCTTTTGGCAAACACCAAACATGTTTGCTTATTTTTTCTTTAAGCAATGGCTTTTTTCTGGCCACTCTTCCGTAAAGCCCAGCTCTGTGGAGTGTACGGCTTAAAGTGGTCCTATGGAAAGATACTCCAATCTCCGCTGTGGAGCATTACAGCTCATCGAGGGTTATCTTTGGTCTCTTTGTTGCCTCTCTGATTAATGCCCTGCTTGCCTGGTCCGTGAGTTTTGGTGGGCGGCCCTCTCTTGGCAGGTTTGTTGTGGTGCCATATTCTTTCCATTTTTTAATAATGGATTTAATGGTGCTCCGTGGGATGTTCAAAGTTTCAGATATTTATTTAGAACCCAACCCTGATCTATACTTCTCCACAACTTTGTCCCTGACCTGTTTGGAGAGCTCCTTGGTCTTCATGGTGCCACTTGCTTGGTGGTGCCCCTTGCTTAGTGGTGTTGCAGACTCTGGGGCCTTTCAGAACAGATGTATATATACTGAGATCATGTGACAGATCATGTGACACTTAGATTGCACACAGGTGGACTTTATTTAACTAATTATGTGACTTCTGAAGGTAATTGGTTGCACCAGATCTTATTTAGGAGCTTCATAGCAAAGGGGGTGAATACACATGCACGCACTACTTTTCCGTTATTTATTTTTCATTTCACTTCACAAATGTGGACTATTTTGTGTTTGTCCATTACATGAAATCCAAATAAAAATCAATTTAAATTACAGGTTGTAATGCAACAAAATTGGAAAAACTCCAAGGGGGATGAATACTTTTGCAAGGCACTGTATGTCTCCTGCGTTAAGAAATAAGCAGTTATTTACATAGCAGTGATCATCAGATCATCATCATATGTAAAGAGCACATGATTTGTATTGTCATTTCTCAAGTCAAGAGAGACGTTGAGCACACAGTACAGCAGTGATGTATGTACAGTAGTAGTAAGGCCACCACCCAAGCCCACCCATCAAAGGTGGTGTTTGAGTTACATGCTGGCGTGCCACACACAGGTAGGTCTGGGTGGAAAGTCCAACAACACTCTCCGAAAGTGTGGAGTTTGATTTCCAGCACTGGCCTGTCAGACACGTCGCAGCACCACTGATTGAACCGTCCCTCATTAAGAAAAAACTCTCTCTCACTAACGTACAGTATTATGCAGAGCCATGAGTGCCTGGAACGCCCTTCCATCTTATAGAGCGCAAGTGAACGGCAAACCTGGTTTCAAAAAACTAATAAAGCAACACCTCACGGCACAACGCCTTTTCCCAATGTGACCTACTTGTTGTGTGTATATACTGACATGTACACTACCGTTCAAAAGTTTGGGGTCACTTAGAAATGTCCTTGTTTTCGAAAGAAAAGCAATTTTTTGGTACATTAAAATAACTTCAAATTGATCATAAATACAGTGTAGACATTGTTAATGTTGTAAATGTCTATTGTAGCTGGAAATGGCTGATTTTTTATGGAATATCTACATAGGCGTACAGAGGCCCATTATCAGCAACCATCAGTCCTGTGTTCCAATGGCACGTTGTGTTTGCTAATCCAAGTTTATCATTTTAAAAGGCTAATTGATCATTAGAAAACCCTTCTGCAATTATGTTAGCACAGCTGAAAACTGTTGTGCTGATTAAAGAAGCAATAAAACTGGCCTTCTTGAGACTAGTTGAGTATATGGAGCATCAGCAATTGTGGGTTCGATTACAGGCTCAAAATGGCCAGAAACAAATAACTTTCTTCTGAAACTCGTCAGTCTATTCTTGTTCTGAGAAATGAAGGCTATTCCATGCGAGAAATTGGCAAGAAACTGAAGATCTTGTACAACGCTGTGCACTACTCCCTTCACAGAACAGCGCAAACTGGCTCTAGCCAGAATAGAAAGAGGAGTGGGAGGCCCCGGTGCACAACTGAGCAAGAGGACAAATACATTAGAGTGTCTAGTTTGAGAAACAGGCGTTTCACAGGTCCTCAACTTTCTAAGTGACCCCAAACTTTTGAACGGTAGTGTGTGTAACTGATAGATGCACACACACACACACACACGTTAATGTTTTAAATGTATGTAAATTGTAAAGTATTTTGTCTGTAATGTCTTTTTCGTTATGTGTCGGACCCCAGTAAGACTAGCTGTTGCCATTGGCGTTGGCTAATGAGGATCCTAATTAATCAAAATCAAATCCCTACCTGTACGTACATATCTACCTCAATTATTTCTTACCCCTCCACATCGACTCGGTACTGGTATCCTGTGTATATAGCCAAGTTACCATTACTCATTGCGTATTTATTCCTCGTGTTATAAATTTTCTGTTATTTCTCTATTTTTCTCTCTGCATTGTTGGGAAGGGCCCGTAAGTAAGCATTTCACTGTTAGTCTACACCTGTTGTTTACCAAGCATTTGACAAATAAAATTAGACTTTATTTGATGACACACACACACAGCTTATGTTTGCTGATAGTATTGCAGAACTGTGTTGACCCACTGTTTAAACTCTGATTGCTATAGAAAGTGCATGCTTCAACAAGAACTGCTGGGGGACTGATATATTGATTATTGAAGCAATTTAGATTTAGAGTGAAAGATCTTCAGGTCACAACACAGTACACCAGACAGCTTCCCACACTGTCATAAGTCCACACTACATGACAGGGCCAAGCAGAGAGAGAGAGGGAGAGAGAGAGATGGTGAGGGAGGGAGAGGAAAGGAGAGGGAGAGAGAGAGAGAGTAAACTTTTGAAGTAAACTGAACTCGGCAGGCTTTCTGAAGTCTGCTGCTTAAACAAATACAAAACATTGTGTCATCCAATGAACACCCTTTTGTCTCAATTTGGTGTTGTTGACAAATAAATGAAACGCTGTGAACACCACTAACTCTCAGCATGTCGCTGGTGTCTGTGCTTGTCTATGTCATCATCAATAGACGGGCAGTGCCCTCCTCAATAACCAATAGCAGACTCTCACCATGGTAACCAGTTCTGAATCTACACAGACATCATTACAAGAATGGGCACAGAACAAAGAAAAGAAAATAACCCCCATAATACAGGGCATTGGATTAACAAAAGTAGTGCACTATAGGAGGAAGCGCCTCCGTGAGCCCTTGCTTCCCTATACCCTCTCAGTCACCTCCTCTCAGTCAAGCCATCTTAGTCTACACCTACATCTACAGCCCACACAGTCTTATCCGCACGCACAAACGCACGCACGCACACACACCAACCCGCTTCCCTTACAAAATTATTTGTGCAAAGACAAAGTCAATATCGCTACTGTGCTAACCTGAAAGCCCTATCAAGTTTAAAAGAGTAACGGCGGATCTAAAACAAATTGTGCTTGAAGAAACGTACTCACAGTGACAGAACAATTACAGGGGCTCATATATCAGCTGTTGGATGGAATCACAACGTGGTGGGGCACTGGGTGCAGCTCCCGCCTGAAAAATACCTGCAGCCACATCCTAGCTGTTTGTTGGTTCTTGATATCTGACACACAGCCTTACCTTTGGTTAGACTAGAGGTGTAGCCTGTAGAGCTGTACGGCTATCTCTGCAAACTCACTTAATCGAGCTGAAGTAATTCAAACAAACCTCTTAGTCAAACAAGCTGTTCAGGAAGAAACAGTTCAATGCTTTTGTCTTTCTTTCCTCTACTGGCCACCCAATGTCTAATTTAAACTTCTTTGATGTTTTCTTGCTATGAAACTAGCTTAAAAAAAACATTGTGTTGGTTGAACGTTTCAGTGGTTGTATGGAGAGAGGAGGGGCTTAGAGTACCTGCAATATCTGTCCCTCTGTCCTGGTCCAAGGACTCCTCTGTCACCGGTGTCTTGGCTGCTGTCTGTGTGATGAGCTCGGGCACAACGAAGCCAGTGTGGTGGAAGCCACTCTGGGAGGACAGCGGAGCCATGTAGTGGGTCAGGTCCCCTGTATTGATCTCAATGAATGGCCAGGCATGGAGTTGCCTCTGCTGTGGGGTGAGAGAGAGAGAGAGAGAATGTTTCATTCCCATTGACAAGAGACAGTGCATTCTATGAGATCTGCCCTCCACTCCTGAGCTTGTCTAAGGCTCAGCCGCTCTGTATCTAAAAAGCACTTATCTCAACAATGTAGGGTGAGTTACTCTGAAGAAGAACTAAGTCTTTCTCTAAAGACGGCTGCTGTAGACCAGAAAGACTTGTCAGTTTGACCATGTACCACATCACTAAGCACCGCATTTCTCCCATAACAATAAACTGAGCTGTGAACCATTAAGCCAATTTGGTCAGTGTTAAAGCATGACATAATTTCTCTCCTCTCCACTCTAGTCTGACTACACACAACAGTCTATAAAGAGACTCTTTCCAGGAGGAGGAGGAGGAGATAGCCCCCTGCTTGAGACCTTTACTTCACTCCCTGCTCATAACGTTTAACGCTACGCAGTTTGCTTATCCAGCACACCCTGATTAGAACAAGGCTGTGTGAGGGATGAGCAGACACAGACATGTGGACACGCACAGGCGCACGCACACATACACACACCAATTATGCTTCATTTAATGAGCCAGACTCTTTTGTCTGGGACAAAAACAGACAGACACTCCTGTAATTAAAAAAAAGTTTTTACACACTATGAGAAAACCTGGATACAGACATCGATATGCTGTGTAACCTCAATATGAGGATTGATACAGTGCCTTCAGAAAGTATTCATACCCCTTAACTTATTCCACATTTTGTTGTGTTACAGCCTGAATTCAAAATTGATTAAATATTTAAAAAAATTCACCCATCTACACACAATACCCTATAATGACAACGTAAAAACATGTTATTAGACATTTTAGCAAATGTATTGAAAATTGAATACACAAATATCTCATTTACATAAGTATTCACACCCCTGAGTCAATACATGTTAGAATCACCTTTGGCAACGATTACAGCTGAGTCTTTCTGGGTAAGTCTAAGAGCTTTGCACACCTGGATTGTACAATATTTGTCCATTATTCTTTTTAAAATTCTTCAAGTTCTTTGAAGTTGATTGCTGATCATTGCTAGACAGCCATTTTCAAGTCTTACCATAGATTTTCAAGCTGATTTAAGTCAAAACTGTAACTAGGCCACTCAGTAACATTCAATGTCGTCTTGGTAAGCAACTCCAGTGTATATTTGGCCTTGTATTTTAAGTTATTGTCCTTTTGAAAGGTGAATTTGTCTCCCAGTGTCTGTTGGAAAGCAGAAAACCAGGTTTTCCTCTAGGATTTAGCCTGTGCTTAGCTCTATTCCGTTTATTTTATCCTAAAAAACTCCCTAGTCCTTGCCGATGACAAGCATACCCATAACATGATACAACCACCACCATGCTTGAAAATATGAAGAGTGGTACTCAGTTATGTGTTGTGTTTGCCCCAAACAGAACACTTTGTATTCAGGACATAAAGTTAATTTCTTAGCCAATTTTTTTGCAGTTTTACTTAGTGTCTTATTGTAAACAGGATGCATGTTTTGGAATCATTTTTATTCTGTATAGGCTTCCTTCTTTTCACTTTGTCAATTAGGTTAGAATTGTGGAGTAACTACAATGTTCTTGATCCATCCTCAGTTTTCTCCTATCACTCTGTAACTGATTTAAAGTCACCATTGGCCTCATGGTGAAATCCCTGAGCGGTTTCCTTCCTCTCCGGCAACTGAGTTAGGAAGGACGCCTGTATCTTTGTGGTGACTGGGTGTATTGACTGGGTGTAACCCATCTACCAATATGTGCCCTTCATTGTGAGGCATTGGAAAACCTCCCTGGCCTTTGTGGTTGAATCTGTGTTTGAAATTCACTGCTCAACTGAGGGACCTTACAGATAATTGTATGTGTGGGGTACAGTGATTCAAAAATCATGTTTAACACTATTATTGCACACAGAGTGAGTCCATGCAACTTATTGTGACTTATTAAGCAAATTTTTACTCTTGAACTTATTTAGGCTTGCCATAACAAAGGGGTTGAATACTTATTCACTGAAGACATTTCAGCTTTTCATTTGTTATTAGTTTGTAAAAATTGAAAAACCTAATTCCACTTTGTTGTTATGGGGTATTGTGTGTAGGCCAGTGACACAGGCTGTAACAAAACAAAATGTGGAAAAAGTAAAGGGGTGTGAATACTTTCTGAAGGCACTGTATATACAGATATTCCACAAGTGCTGTGATCCATTTAGCAGCATATATTGACCTTTGATTGAGGATAAGTCTCAGCAAATGGAATTATCTTTAGAGCAGGGACACATTACTCCTTAGAGGGACAACCTTTAGAGAACTTTAGAAGAACTTCCACTAAAAAGAAAAGCAGCATGTTAGACTTCTCAAGGCAACCTGTTTTGTTGTGCTTGAATTCCTCAAACCCAATGATCACCATGTTTCTGCAGCTTTAAAATGAGAGTCGTAAGCTTCTCACATTCCCACTACTGATACACCACTCAACTATACCATTATGTTAAGAGCCCATTCCAATGATAAGTTGTGTGTTTTGCAGATGGGCAGAAGGCATCAGATAAGCAGAGAAGATCAGAGAGGAGCGACATGATGAAGCCCTCCCAGTATGCTTACATAATACTCCACTAAAATGTATGTGTCTGGTGAATGAATATGAATTTCTGAGAGATACAGTGGGGAAAAAAAGTATTTAGTCAGCCACCAATTGTGCAAGTTCTCCCACTTAAAAAGATGAGAGAGGCCTGTAATTGTCATCATAGGTACACGTCAACTATGACAGACAAAATGAGGAAAAAAAATCCAGAAAATCACATTGTAGGATTTTTAATGAATTTATTTGCAAATTATGGTGGAAAATAAGTATTTGGTCAATAACAAAAGTTTCTCAATACTTTGTTATATACCCTTTGTTGGCAATGACACAGGTCAAACGTTTTCTGTATGTCTTCACAAGGTTTTCACACAATTGCTGGTATTTTGGCCCATTCCTCCATGCAGATCTCCTCTAGAGCAGTGATGTTTTGGGGCTGTCGCTGGGCAACACGGACTTTCAACTCCCTCCAAAGATTTTCTATGGGGTTGAGATCTGGAGACTGGCTAGGCCACTCCAGGACCTTGAAATGCTTCTTACGAAGCCACTCCTTCGTTGCCCGGGCGGTGTGTTTGGGATCATTGTCATGCTGAAAGACCCAGCCACGTTTCATCTTCAATGCCCTTGCTGATGGAAGGAGGTTTTCACTCAAAATCTCACGATACATGGCCCCATTCATTCTTTCCTTTACACGGATCAGTCGTCCTGGTCCCTTTGCAGAAAAACAGCCCCAAAGCATGAAGTTTCCACCCCCATGCTTCACAGCATTGGACTGGGCTGAGCGGGAGTTGCCCTCCCGTAGGGGTGGGAGGGCCAAGAGGCAAGAGGTGGCAGAACGACGGGTACGGGTGTAGGGTTTGAGCATAGTTCCTCTTGCTGCTCCGTAGGCAAGCACCAAGGTCTTGTAGTGGATGCAGGCTTCCACTGGAAGCTAGTGCAGTGTGCGGAGGAGCGGGGTGACATGGGAGAACTTGGGAAGGTAGAAAACCAGCCGGGCTGCAGCGTTCTGGATAAGTTGCAGGGGTTTGATGGCACAAGCGGGGAGCCTAGCCAACAGCGAGTCGCAGTAATTCTGGCGGGAGATGACAAGTGCCTGGATTAGGACCTGCACCGCTTCCTGTGTGAGGTAGGGTCGTACTCTACGGATGTTGTAGAGCATGAACCTGCAGGAGCGAGTCACTGCTTTGATGTTGGCAGAGAACGACAGGGTGTTGTCAAGAGTCACGCCAAGGTTCTGTGCACTCTGGGAGGGCGACACTGTGGAGTTATCAACCGTGATGGAGAGGTCTTTGAGTGGGCAGGCCTTCCCCGGGAGGAAGAGCAGCTCTGTCTTGTCGAGGTTGATCTTGAGGGGGTGGACCGACATCCAAGCTGATATATCTGCCAAGCACGCAGAGATGCAAGTTGCCACCTGGGTGTTAGAAGGTGGGAAAGAGAAAAGTAGTTGAGTGTCATCCACATAGCAATGATAGGAGAGACCATGTGAGGATATGACGGCATCGAGTGACTTGGTGTATAGAGAGAAGAGGAGAGAGCCTAGAATCAGCAGTGAGAGTACGTGGTGCAGACACAGATCCTCTCCACGTCACCTGGTAGGAGCGGCCTGCCAGGTAGGATGCAATCCAAGAGGATGCAAAACCTTAGACGCCCAGCCCTGAGAGGGTGAAGAGGAGGATCTAATGGTTCACGGATTCGAAGGCAGAGGATAAATCTAGGAGGATGAGAACAGAGGAGAGAGTCAGCTTTGGCAGTACGGAGAGCCTCCGTGACACAAAGAAAATAAGTATTGTTTGAGTGACCAGTCTTGAAGCCTGACTGGTTAGGGACAAGAAGATTGTTCTGAGAGAGTTTATCAGAGACAGCATGCTGAAGTGTTTTGTAAAGAAAATAATGGATATAGGTCTATAGCTTTTGAGGTCAGATGAGTTGCGTGTTGGTTTCTTGAGGAGAGGAGCGACTCGGGCCATTTTGAAGTCAGAGGGGACGCAGCCAGTGGTCAGGGATGAGTTGATGAGGGAAGTGAGGAATGCGAGAAGGTCTCCAGAGATGGTCTGGAGAAGGGAGGAGGGGATGGGGTCGAGCGAGAAGTCATAGGATGCAGAAAGGACAGACGATTTTTACGCGCTACACGCTTCAGCACTCGGCGGTCCCGTTCTGTGAGCTTGTGTGGCCTACCACTTCGCGGCGGAGCCGTTGTTGCTCCTTTCCACTTCACAATAACAGCACTTACAGTTGACCGGGGCAGCTCTAGCAGGGCAGAAATTTGACGAACTGACTTATTGGAAAGGTGGCATCCTATGACGGTGCCACGTTAAAAGCCACTGAGCTCTTCAGTAAGGCCATTCTACTACCAATGTTAGTCTATGGAGATTGCATGGCTGTTTGTCGATTTTATACACCTGTCAGCAACGGGTGTGGCTGAAATAGCCAAATCCACTCATTTAAAGGGGTGTCCA